CATCCATACAAGGTGTTTCTGCTCAAATATGATTATTGGATATTGAAGATCTATGATACCTACATCTAACATTCTATTATTGAGAACTAATTTTGTATAACAGAGATTTGTATTGTTCAATTACTATACAAATTCTATTATTTCATTAAGAAAAATAATTGTATCATATCTGTCGTCATTGGGAGATTAGATAAAAGTTTACGTTCCAGTTTTCAGTATTATTTTGCTGCTGTTATACTGGAAGCTGTTATAATGTATTATGGCATGTTTATTAATTAGCCGTTTTTTCATAGGATTGCTTCGAATGGAATGCGCTGTAGTTTCATAATACAAGGTAAAAATATCACCATTCACATTCAGTTTTGTACTAATATCAGAAATTTCTTGTTTTCATTGCAACATGCACTCAATTTTTTATTCAAGAGAATTTTTTTTAATTCCAGTGAAAGTAATCTGTGAATGTGCTATAGAGAACTTTTATTATGTATGTATAGTTTAGACCAGCTGTCTCATTCCTTTTTTGGTATTTTCATCACCCATATCTATACTCGAAATACAAGCAATACAAAATATTCCATTTTTAACCATTCGAATCCAAGAAATTTTGATGGGTAGATATAGATAGATATAGAGGGTTAGTTGAGTATGTGGCCAAACTTCAAGGGTGGATTTTTGAGTGATTCCAAATTCCAAGTCAAAAAGTCCATGTAACCATTTTATTCTCTGTGTATACAGGGTGACCTAACGAACAGGAAACAGATGAACAAAGCTAAAATACGCCGATTCACAAACCTTCTGGGATTCTTATTTATCCTAACTGCATCATGCAATGTGTCTGTCTGGTTGTCATTTGACCACCCTCTATCAGTATTTGCTGCTCATCCATTCTGAATATTAACTTCAACTTGAATCTGTGAAAAGATCGAAAATGTCTTCTTGAAAGTATCACTTCAAAAATTGGTAGTCAAGTGCTTTTTGGGATGCGAAAACCGAATATGGACACCCTTTCACTGTGGCCATTAGAGGGCGCTTGCAACTGCACTTCTTATGGTTTGAAATGGTCATAACATTTTTCTCAGTGCAGTTTTTCACTTTTTTTGTTGGGGAAATATTTTTCACAACCTTTTCAAGCAAGACAGCTGCCCTTGTAAAAATTACTAAATTTTTTTTTTTTTTTTTTATCGCCGTTTTCGAGATATTTTCGTTTTTAGTGTCCGATGCCGCACCGGAATATTCAAATTCTTTTGAATAAAGAATTTTTGCTTTTATCTTCGTGGATGTAATTTGGTCAGTAAATTAGCAGTGCAGGAATGTGTTTTTCAAAATACTTTTTTGGAGTGTGCTTGCCGATTTTAAGTTTAAATTTACCAGCCTATATAGGTATCTTGGAAATGAAGCAATTTCGGACTGAGGACTAAGTGCTAAGATGTTGTACAGACCTTTCAGGGACACCCTGTATATTTCATCAACAGTAATCTTGATTCCACTTTCAAGTGTAGTATGAAAACAACAACTTCTTACAACTACTTGGTGACTAGATATAGTTGTTATAAACATCGAAATATTCCATTTTATTCGATGCGTATATTCATAACCACCTCGGTTTTCCCTATCCAGTGTCAACGTATCCATCGAAACACCCTGTACATATAGCCTTTGATATCCAGGGCGTCACCCGAACTAGGATAGTGCTGCAGCTTTTTCAATTTCCACCAGCTCCATCTGACGGTTGTAATTGGGGGCCTCGAGTGAGTCCCTCTTCTGCGGGGGTGGTGGAGGGGCGGTTGACGGGTTGGGGGGTCGCGTATCCCCTCGTCCCCCCCATATTCCGACCGATCAATGTTGACACAGCACGCGAGATAGTCGTGTGACGTCATTCAAGAGTTGTGCCATTTCCGTTTTCTGCTAAGGACCAGACGCCATTTTGTTGTATTATCCTTTCGTATAATTTTCATGTTTCACGAGGGCTGTCTCAGAACTCTCAGAAGTCTCAAGCTCATTGGATTCTGGCAAAGGGAAATGGGATTTGGCTCATAAAGCTGAAACTTCAGACACTAAAATAGTAAAATAGAAGGTTCCTTTTATATACAGGATATCCCAAAATTAGCCTGTCAAACTTCGATCGAAAGTAGGAAAGAAAGTTTCAATGAATATGAGACAAGAAATGTCTCTTGAGGGAGCTACGGTTCTATCAAAGGGGGCTCCTGAAGATGATATTTCTCAATATTTCCGAAACGCCACGCGATAAAATGATGCAATTTTGTAAAAGTACTAAACTTTTCATTCCCATCAATGCGGCGAACATAAAATCATTCCAAAGTTTCATTCAGGTGTGTTGATAAATACACAATATAGAATGTACTAAATACTGTCTGTAGGTCAATCGAGGAGATGGTATACATTGATTATTCTAGGTTTTTTGGGATTTTCTCTCCTCGTCTCTATAAAACAGAAATATGCATATTATTTCTATATATACGTGTAGTAAGGACAAATCAAATGATGAGAGCCTGAAAGGAAAATTCACTATATCGGTATAGCCAGTGACAATTTGTATTGAAAAAGGTTTGGAGAAGAGAAATAAAGGTATATAGAGAAAATATCAAATGTTCACTCAACTTTGGACGTTCCGGGAACGAATCTGCTCCCGTTTTCAACATGAAAAATGGATTTTTGTATGGCAATCTGAAAATGGTAAATTCAAGATTAATTAATGAAAACATCCTGTAACTCATTTGATTGTCAACGTCACCAACTGTCACTGAGAACCATACAAATTGCCACACAAAAATCCATTTTTTTTTATGTTGAAAACTGGAGCAGATTCGTTCCCGAACCTCCAAAGATAAGTGAAAACTTGATATTTTTCCTATATATCTTTATTTCTCTTCTCCAAATCTTTTTCAATACAAATTGTTACTGAAAAGCTATAGTGAATTTTTCTTTTAGGCTCTCTAATAGGAAAATTCTTTGAACGCAGTGACATTTTGGGACAAATCCCAAAAAATCTGGAATAATGAATGTACCATCTCCTATATCAACCTACAGATACTATTTATTATCTTGAATGGAGAATTCTTCCATTAGGTCATTTTTATCGCCTATTTTTCATTGGGTGTAGAAGTAGTGCAACTGTTGTAGAATCTATAACAAAGAACATAATAATTGAGTAATATTCAATTTTTTCCAATTTCTCAAATGTTATATGATGAAAGGTAAGAAATTAGATCAATTTGCTCCCATACAGGATTATAGGCGATTCTCGGAATGCTTCGTACATTTTTATATAAACTATTCTGTCATGAGTATCGTAGTGAAGAAGCATTTTCAAAATAAGCACAACCGGATTCAATTCCTGAAATGGTAATAAATCTTATCGAAAAATATTTCATGATGGTTATGTGGTAGACCCTGTAGTTTTTCAATTGATAGTTTCCCGTTTGCTGTCGTTGAGAATGAATATATGTTCAGATCTCGCGTGGCTAGGTTAAGTTATTCCTCCCGTAATATTAAGTGATGCTAAAGTGTTGTTTGATGAGATTCCACGTGGAATAAGGACTATTTTCCACAATCGTTTCATATTTGGATCTGTTCTATTTTCGGTTCGATGAAATGTGTCAAAATTAGAAGGACGTTACTATTATACAAGGTATGTTGCTGACTGTTTCGAGATGTTTGTTTAATATTATTTGAATTGGTATTTTATTCATCAACTTCCCCATATCCGCTGCTGATGACGTTAGTATTTTATTTCCTCCTTTGGATGTGGGGAAATGGATATTTTCTGGTATTTCATGATATAAGGGAGTACCTATTTGATTATTTTGAGTAATATTTAATTGATGTTATTTACATTCCTGTGTTACAAGTACAGGGTCATTCACTATATTTTATTCAATTGAACCTTTTTCTTACCGAATCCAGGTTGTTTCTGAAATTAAGGCGGTAAATGAGGTGGGTGAAGGCGAAAACACAAAAGGAATGCAAGAATAAATTGAAAAAAAAATTTAGATAGGTATTGAACTTAGCTCACCTGAAACTGCCGTAGATCATTGATCTGACTTTTGTAATATTTCCGGACGTTCAATAATAGTTCAAGGAAGTGAAATGGTGAGAGCGCTCATTTAAAAAAATAGTTATTTGTTTTACTATAGGCAGCAAAGCAGTAGATTGACTGCCGTGGCTGATAGTGCCATGTGAAGGAAAGTTTGACATTTCTCAATTCAATTCAAATGTGAATGAATGAATATCTAGTATATTGTCCCTAGTAATATTAAATTCATGTTCTTATTTTCAATCCAATCGCAAATAAATCTGCAGTATCGTTAGATTCGTCAAATAATCATTTTGTCGAAAAGTGCTTGTCAAAAAATGGTTGAAATTTGAAAAATAATAGTTATGGAATCGGAAATGTATTTTTTCCAACTTTTCTTCTATCATACAAGTCACTTAAACTTTGTTATTACAATTTTCTGTCATCACCTGAGGTCCTTAGATAAATTTACGTATGATAGCCACCTAGATGCAATAATAAGTGGTATAATATCTAAGACTGTGTAGAAATAGTGATGGTGCTAGAATTGATCCTTGCGGAACACCAGCATTTATGGTGAGAGAGTCAGATGAAACTCCGTCGACTACTACATGGAGAGAAAACTAGCTAGCAGAGAACATAGCTTGGCTGACGAATTGACGATAGTGTTCGGTTCTTGAAGTACATTCTGCCAGGAATTCGAGATGTGTTTTTTACTATTGATGAAATTTCAAAACTCACGTGGATCCGATTTCAATGTATTTTCAGATTTCTCGATGAAATCCGTATAAGCTTGTGACAAGTCACGTTTTATTTGCATTCTGTGATTAATAAATTTTATATACCTATGTACTAAAACTAGATGATGATTGAATTATATCATAATTTCGGTCGGAGGGGTATTTTCCTCGTTCGAGGGCCCTCTGCAAATGCGCATATCTCTAACCTCCTTGTGCCTTTTTTGCAGGCGCTGGAGTGAAGATGGAGCATTTCCAGGCGGCGCTCGACCCCCGGAAACAGGAGCTCCTAGAGGCGCGATTTCTCGGGGCTAGGGTGAGTCATTATTATTATCATATAGGTACATAATATATTATCAAGTTCTTCAGTACTTCCGGCGACCAGCTCCACTTGATACAAAAATTCACACGATCAGGACTTTCTCATTAAGTATAAACGGTGGTAGACGTCCCATTATAGCTCAAAGTGGAGTAGTGTAGAGTTCCTAAATGTACTTGACACTGCTGTTTTGACGTTTTCTGTATATTAGAGTACGGACACTATGACAAGCACTGACAATCAGACATAACCACAAATAAATTGATGGAAAAAGCGGGAACAGACAGTACACGAACGTACATGACATAAATTTCAAAGGTTTGACAAATTGAGAGAATTGGAAGAAATTTGCAAGTTGGAAACAGAATATGATGTGGCCGGCATGGAATATAATTATGTCCAGGCAAAACTGCACTCATCATGTCTTTTTTTTATTAGTTTTTTTTGTCTGAAAAACACGAATTTGATAATTAAAATTTGAGTGAACAAACCACTATTTATCGAGATATTTCAAGGGAAAGTAATAAATTTCGCCTTCTTTTTCCCCCTGATGTGTTGGATGCATTTAAAGCTATACTTGCTCTTCTTATTTTGTCATTGGACACTTTATATACTCATGATGTACTTCAATGACAAATTTTTATATAGAAAATTCAACAGGAAATATGATTTTTATGGCTAGAATTCCATAATTCAGTGAACATACCAGATGACGGCCATTTAATAAATATAATCTTAATCTATGTAAATAGTCAATCCAAATACGAGATGTCAAATGTCAACAGATTGCTTTTGAATGACATTACACACACCATTATTATAAATGATATTCTTCCTACTTTTCACTAAATATGGATGAATCGCAAGAAAATCATATTTCTAGTTGACTCATATAATAGAAAAAAAATGTGTCGAGTACATTGTGATATCGTTCTGAATACGATCCAAAAGACAGGCGGAGTAGAAGGTGAAATTTGTCACTTTATTGTGAAATATCTTAATAAATAATGGTTTGTACATTTTCATTATCAAATTCGTGTTTTTCAGACAAAAATACGTCAGTATCAAAAATTTTTTCGAAAAAAACCCATCGCATGATTAGTGCAGTTTTACCTCGAGTTTGACCAATTATTCAGATTTTTCAGATTTTTGAGTTTCAAGATTTCGAAGAAGTGAAATTCAACTTGAATTAAGCGACAACAAAAAACACTTCTTAAATACTAAACCAAACTAATTATTATTCATAATAATGAAAAGAAACCACAAAAAATTCTAGAGAATCGAATAATCTTCTTCCTCGATCAACCTATACCGACAGAATCTAAATTTCACTATTTTTTTCATTATTTCAATTATACCTTGCGGCAGGGGCGGCGAGTGCATGGGGGCATCGGGGCCAATGCACCCATGTAGGCAGTGGGTATGGGTGCAATGCACCCATTGGCCGAAACAGACGTATAAAAAAACAAATTAGATACGGGCGAAATGAGCACTTGTAAATATTGCACATTGTTGCTGGACAAGTATAGGTAAATAACAACCATGCGAACCGTATATTCGATTCATGTGCATCCAGGGTTTGACACTGTGCACTGTGCAGATATTCCGATTTAAATTTTAGACATTATGACATCACAGGTTACAAGTGCCAGTTTGGAAAAAATAGAAGTGGCTAATGAATCCATTGATAATACAGTCAGTAGGAATACCTTTGCAATAAATTAACTGGGGTTACTTGCTAATTTTTTCGAATCCCGAAGTTTCTCTATTCCATTTTTTGAGATATGAGAATTATTAAATCTTAATTTATTTTTGTAGAGATTGAATTTTCTAATATCGTTTTAAATTTTGAGTTATGTTCACTTTTTTCAATGGTGAAAAAAAATCCTTCTATTTCTCATCCTTGTTCATATTAATATATCAACCATAAACTCGAAACCCGATTAGTCACAAAATATTATATATTGGTAGAGGTGTTTCACACTTGATGCAAAATAAATAATGCTTTGATCTATCTTGAAATTTGATGGCATTTGACCTTGAACCATGAAAAATTTTCGCCTGCGGCGCATAATTTTGTCTTCCCCTGACCCCTCAATTTTGGCACCCATTGGACAAAACAAAACTCGCCGCCCCTGCCTTGCGGCATTTCACTTGCTGTTTGTATTTTTGTAGCTTCCGTGTTTTCTGCAACCTCGTGCAATTCACTTGCGAATTGGAAAAACCTTATTCTTTATCAGCTTCTAATCTTCCCAGCATATCGATTCGATAGTGTAACGACTGGTAACCACGCGAATCTTACTGCCTCTATACGTAGATATACTTTTTTTCGTTCAATGGAACATTATTTCTTTACAACCAGTTTAAACAGTCATAAAAGGAGATGTAGTGGTTGTAAATAGTGAAAAACCATGGATAGGACAGGACCGGATAGTTCACCGTTTCACCTATAGGACCTTTAGGTGTTCCCCGGAACTTGATTTTCTCACTCATAAATATGTCCGTCATATCAGATGAAAATTATTTTCCTTCAGAATGCTGTAGTTGATAATTTATTGACTCCATCTAGAATTTGTCATCAAATCATGTTCAAAGTTGAAGGAATATTTCTTCCTTCTTAGGATTCAGTTGAAATATATATTAGGAACTAACTCAGTCCCAAAGTTGTTATAGTTTCTGGAACTTTTTATGCCTTGGTATAGGTATTGAATTTCAAGTTGAAAATGCTTATTCTTTGTCATATTTTGTCGAAAAAGGTAAACCCAGTATAGGTGTCATCAGCAGCTCTTCCAGTGATTATTGAATTCAAATTTTAACTCCCCTCAACACTTTAACAGATTTTGATTCATTTTCCCCGAAAAACCCTCAGTGCCAAATTTTGTGCGTATCATGATATCATTAAGATGAATGGATGGTGGGTGAAACGCTTTGTACACAGACTTTCTAGAGACACCCTGTACATTCATAGTAATAATATATATACAAATCTCTTGTCTGTTTATTGTGTCAGGTACAATGTTCCACTTTTTGATATGTATAGATACTTATAGGTCTGAATTCTTTGTGATTCAGCCATATTGAATTAATTAACTTTGACCTTATTGAATCATCCAAATTAGGCGTCATGCGAAAACATAGTTAATTATTCGTAGATACAACAAAAACCTGATGATATAAGTGGTTCAAAATTGTCGACCGATATTTTCATGGCATAGTACTTACAAATTTCTAATTTCTATGAAGTTATGTATTTCCAAAATTTACTCACACAATAAGTGACCGAAATAATGACCGAAAACCTCGCCGAAAAGTTATACACACATTTGCCAAATTTGGCAATTTGGTTCAACAGAATATATAGAAATAGGCTTGGAAATAGGTTTATTGATATATCGCAGCGTTAAGAAGCATTACCGCGATTTTGCATGATATAAGAAAACTGACAATTCTCCCAATTTCTCATATTATCAGATGTTAACCATACTATACTATAGCGGCTCGAATCAGTTTTTCTTCTTGTGATTGAAATGATCATTCATATCAGTTTACCTGATCGAAATATTCATTATGAAAGTTTTCGAGGCCACCCACTTTGTCTACTATTAGTAGTACTAATATCGATTTGAAATTTCTCGATTCCAAACTAGACAAGTATGGTCGAGCCATTGAATTCGCAAATTATTCCATTGTTTACAGAATATTTTCGATTTGTATGTCAAATCTCGCCTCAAACCTGAATACGAAGGTTAACAAGACCATAATGTGTACAAAAATTTTATAGAAAGGCATAGATTAGGTTACTCGTTAATCTATGGAATAGGGAATGGTTCAGTCGAATAGAGTTTCAGTTTGAATCTTTCGATCTTGTTATCGATATATAGATCGATAATAAATCCGATGAAAAATTATCGAGTTATCGATCGTATATCGACAACATCTATAGATAATATCGCCGATGATATCGATAATTTTTGAAAACTTGCGATAATTTTCGATCATTTTCGAAATTTCCCTTGATAATTAATTGATATCGCCACTTCTACAGAACATTCCAACTAAGAAGACAACGTTGGAAATCATAGGGAACCGTTGATTACAATCAAAAGAAAGAAGGAAAGCTCAAAGTCGTTTCGACTACTTTATTACTGATGTAAATTGATTAAGGCGACATAAAAGTCGATCTTCCGCCGTTATTAGAAGTTCCTACAAGCAAAGGTATGTGAAAATATACATATGATGAAAAACCAAAAGTTAACTTACATGGAGGTGAAACAATATTTCAAATTGGATGCCTATTGGTGACAAGAGGGGTTGAGAATAAACGGGTTTTCAATAAAAATGAAGAGCCTCGTGCCCTAAGAACGCTCACTTATAGAATCAGATGTCAAGTCCCAGAAGGAAAATTTGACGAGCACTCAAAGATGCTTATAAAAACCATATAAGGTTGCCAAGAGGAAAAACCAAAGGGTCCCGTAGCCTTTAGAAAGCGCACCAAAGTATCCAAAAATCAATCAAAATTGATGGGGCCAAAAGCAAAAAACGTGTTAAATCCAACATATGAGATAGCAATGAATTTTCATATCTCTATATTTGAAAATGTGGACAAATCTGAAATATTCAGATTTTCAAGGCCTACTTTTGTTTGTTGAAGGGGCCAAAATTTCAGAAACGACTATTAGGAATTTTTATTCCGAAACGGTGACTATATTCGATTCAGGTATAGCTGAAATACGTCCATAATTTTTTTCTATCAATGAAATATCTCGTTCACTTCTGAAGATAACAATTTGAATTTTGGTGAGGTCAGTTCTTTCTAGAAGATCATCATATGAAGCATTTCAAAGATTTTGAAAATCCACAGGGTGGTACATTTTGAGGGTAGAGGCTTCTTTATTTTCCCCAAACTTTTGTGGACTATTCAATTATCTACATCTCAATTTTTTTCGAGGAATGCACCATTTTCGAGATAAATATCCGTGCAATAAGATTTCAATTTG